TTTTTTCTAATATCTAATGTAAAATTCCCCTCCTTCAGTTTGAACCCATTACCCCTTGTCCTGTCACTGCAGCTCCTAACACAGAGTCCCTCTCTGGCCCCTTGTAGGCCCTTCAGATATTGAAAAGTTGCCCTGAGGTCTCCACACAACCTTCTCTTCTCTAGGCTGAACAGCCCCAACTCCCTCAGCCTGTCGTCATAGGGGAGATGCTCCAGTTTTCTTAGCAACCTCGTGGCCTCCTCTGGACTTGCTCCAACAGTTCCATGTCCCTCTTATGTTGAGGACACCAGAATGAACCAAAACAGCAATGCAGAGCCCTGACCTGAACTCTTACCAGTGATGCAGGACGTCGTTGATCAGGTAGATGAGGTGCAGCCTCAGCTCAAAGTGAGCCCCGTCGGCCGTGATGCGATTCCGCAGGTGCCCAGCCATCAGCTCACAGTGTGCAGGAGACTTGGCATTGCTGAACATCCAGTTCTTGCCAGCCTTAGGAAAGCAAATTACAAACATTTGAAGTCAGTCTAATGCACTCACACCATATGGGCTTCCTGCAGCTCCGAAACTACTGCAAAAGGAGGAGTTTTCCACTAACAGCTTTCGTTTCCTGCCACACAGCACGGCAATAAAGCTGTTAACTTCCCAGTCCCAGAATTCCAACAAACCCTCAGCACCACCAACCCCCCGTGCACATCCACACCACTTACTGAGATTGCATCTTTTGTACAAGTGTCGATTATTGGCTGCAACAAGTTGTCAAATTCGTTCATGTCTAACTGGGTTTCCTCCAAAACCTTTTGCATTTGTTGCTCGATTGCAAGAGCTACTGCTGAGGTGACTTGTTCCTGAAAAAACACATAGAGGGGAAAAGATAAGTAAAGAATTACATTACATCCAACATTCCTTAAAGGATGAGGCTGCTGCATTCCCTCTATCCCTGTCCTCCTGGCCATAGGTAGCTACCTCAAGGACTAAGACCTTTGACAAGGAATGTGACCACAAAAAATGCCTCAGCTATTCTGTTTTGAGAAAATAAGACTCTTATTCCTAAGGAAAAGTCCATTTCAGTTACACTTCTAAAATCTAGCATGGAATAAAAAATAACTGCAGGAATCTCCTAAATGTAAGGAACATAACCAAGGCACAAGGAACTCTTTAGTTTGGTTCTCAACAGCTTTAACAGCAAAACATCTGCACAAACCAACTACCTGACAGCACACAGTTCCCTCTCACCCCTAATCAGATCCACCTTGGAATGCTCCAAGCTGAACAACCTGCAGATCCCAAGCACCTGCAGCATTAAACCATGATTTACCCCAGTCATTTATTCCACTCTAAACCCAACAAGGTTTTTCCTAGAGCAAACACAATGCCTCAATCAATCCTGGCAGCACACTCTGCACACCAGGCAGAGCAGTTGTGGGAGATGATGGCATCTGCCACAGAACAAAACCAAGCAAAGCAACACTCCCTCTCCTCCCCTCCACCAGCACTGAGCAGGAAACCCTCCTCTCCCTCCTCATTCCTCCAGCCACTGGGACACACCAGGGCAGTGTTTAGCTGACACCAACCTGTCTCATAGCGAGGAGATGCTGCTCCTGCTGCTGCAGGTTCCACTGGCTCTGCTGGATCAGCTCCTCCACGGAAGGAGTGCCCTGAGGGGCAGGGATGGGCGCAGCCGGCGGCAGCGAGGGCTGGGGCAGGGGCTGGATCTGTGCTGAAGCCTCGAGGTCTTGACTTTGCTTGCACAACACTATCAGACAGAGCAAACTTTTCAAGCAAACCTCGCAGAGAAAACCTACAACCACCTGCCCATGGGTGGAAACTGCTGGTTCCAAACCACACGTTCAAAAGGGTCTCAATGGGGGCTCAGAGGGGGCTCCAGAGATGCTTAATGCAAAATCAGGAGTGGATGGTGCCAAAGAGGAGAGGCAGCAGCTCCCTATGCACTTCCAGAGGGACAACTCCAGCACAAGCCCAGCCTAGGCACGGCTGGGCTGGACCCCCCTGCCCTGGAGAGCTTTCCTGAT